CAACTATCCAACACATACCAAAAACTGAAATCAATTCTAGCTGGACTGACACTTTAGTAAACATTCACATTAGAATACATATAGTATATATTACATTTACAAAATGTACAAAGGATACAACAAATGTAGATATATTTAAATATGCACTTTTCTGCTGTATGTGAATTTCACTTCACTTTCTCTATGAGGTGCAAAGAAACAGGCTCACTTAAAGTGATACTAAACCCACAAGAGTAAAATCAGTCTATATATACAGTCATGGCCGAAATTGTTGGCACCCTTGATATTTTTCCTGAAAATCAAGTATTTCACACAAAAAAGGTATTGCATTAACACATGTTTTGCTATACACATGTTTATTCCCTTTGTATGTATTGGAACAAATATAAAACAGAGGCAGAAAAGCAAATATGACATAATGTCACACAAAACCCCAAAAATGGGCTGGACAAAAGTATTGGCACCCTTAACTTAATATTTGGTTGCACACCCTTTGGAAAACATAACTGAAATCAGTCGCTTCCTATAACCATCAATAAGCTTCTGACACCTCTCACCCGGAATTTTGGACCACTCTTCCTTTACAAACAGCTCCAGGTCTCTCTTATTGGAAGGACACCTTTTCCCAACAGCAATTTTAAGATCTCTCCACAGGTGTTCAATGGGATTTAGATCTGGGCTCATTGCTGGCCACTTCAGAACTCTCCAGCGCTTCTTTGCCATCCATTTCTGAGTGCTTTTTGACGTATGTTTGGGGTCATTGTCCTGCTGGAAGACCCAGGATCTTGGACGCAAACCCAGCTTTCTGACACTGGGCCCTACAGTGCGACCCAAAATCCTTTGGTAATCCTCAGATTTCATGATGCCTTGCACACAGTCAAGGCACCCAGTGCCAGAGGCAGCAAAACAACCCCAAAACATCATTGAACCTCCACCATATTTTACCGTAGGTACTGTGTTTTGTTCTTTGTAGGCCTCATTCCGTTTTCGGTAAACAGTAGAATGATGTGCTTTACCGAAAAGCTCTATCTTGGTCTCATCTGTCCACAAGACGTTTTCCCAGAAGGCTTTTGGCTTACTCAAGTACATTTTGGCAAACTGTAGTCTTGCTTTTTTATGTCTCTGTGTCAGCAGTGGGGTCCTCCTGGGTCTCCTGCCATAGCGTTTCATTTCATTTAAATGTCGACGGATAGTTCGCGCTGACACTGATGCTCCCTGAGCCTGCAGGACAGCTTGAATGTCTTTGGAACATGTTTGGGGCTGCTTATCCACCATCCGGACTATTCTGCGTTGCAATCTTTCATCAATTTTTCCTCATCCGTCCACGACCAGGGAGATTAGCTACAGTGCCATGGGTTGCAAACTTCTTGATAATGTTGCGCACTGTGGACAAAGGCAAATCTAGTTCTCTGGAGATGGACTTGTAACCTTGAGATTGTTGATATTTTGCCACAATTTTGGTTCTCAGGTCCTCAGACAGTTCTCGTCTCCTCTTTCTGTTGTCCATGCTTAGTGTGGCACAGACAGACACACAATGCAAAGGTTAAGTGAACGTCTCTCCTTTTTATCTGCTTTCAGGTGTGATTTCTATATTGCCCACACCTGTTACTTGCCCCAGGTGAGTTTACAGGAGCATCACATGCTTGTAACATTCTTATTTATCCGCAGTTGTGAAAGGGTGCCAATACTTTTGTCCAGCCCATTTTTGGAGGTTTGTGTGACATTATGTCGAATTTGCTTTCTTTCCTCCCTTTTTTTGTTTTGTCCCAATACACACAAAGGGAATAAACATGTGTATAGCAAAACATGTGTTAATGCAATACGTTTCGTGAGAAATACATGATTTCCTGGAGAAATATCAAGGGTGCCAACAATTTTGGCCATGACTGTATGTAGTAAAGCATGCCTGTTATACTCACTGTGGAACCTCAGGGTTTAATCCTCTGCATTGTGTAAAAACGCTGTTTGATCCTGACTTCTGTGATCCTCCCCCTTTTCCTGTATTCCCCACTTATCTCCTGACAAGACATACTGTGTGGAGTCACTCTTAACATGCTCAGTTTGGTGTGTATTTCTAGAGATATTTTTTTTTTGTCTTGGGAGAGTGCATGTGATCAGCACAGGACCAATCAGCACTGTTCAGACAGAGGTTCTGCATCCTCCTAGAGCAAAATGAAAATTCCTCCTACAAGCTTTAGCATGTGCTCAGCTGGACACTGATAGAAGTTACAAGACTGCTCTAACCACTGATGAAAAAAAGTATTTAGCAGTCTATATCTACTAATATAATTGCATTTCCAAGTTCTGTGTACTGTGGGAGACCAGATATGAATGCAGGGTCCTGGGTTTGGCAACACTAACTGCAGTCCCCCACAACTGCACATACTCATCTTCCCTTTCCTTCTCTGTCATTCCATTAGTCTGCCAGCAGCAAAGGGAAACATTCAGTACATCAGGGATGGGGAGCATAAAACTTGCTCTCACTTCTGACTAAACTCTGTTCAGCTGTGGTCAGCCTCAGGCCAGCACTCGAGGCTAGGTTCACACTAATGCGGTGCGGTACATCGCATGTGATTACCACTGGAACCGCACCACATTCCTGTGCAAATCACATGCGAATTCTGTGCGGTGCGATTTGAGCCACACATTATGTATGGCTCAAATCGCACTGCATCTGCACCAAAAAGGTGCGGGACCCTTTTTTTTGGTCCACATTATAATCAGATTGCATGGGTATTCACACCTATGTGATCCAATTCTGCACATTGCACCCCGTTTTGCAGACCAATTTTTAGGGTGTTGTTAACTTAACATACACACCTGTAGCGGTTCGCATGAACGGGGTGCGATTCTGATGCGGTGCAGAATTTGCACAGAAAATGCTGTGAATTTCACACTGCATCAGTGTGAACCCAGGCTGAAAGTTTGAAGAATGCATAATCCTTCAGACGGGGATTATCACTATAAAAAGAGTTTATTAAAAGGTATTGTCACAGTGCAAAAGAAAGGCAGTACATAGATCTTTAAATAGTTTAACTTCTGATCATCATTCAAGTGCAGAAATGCAGTACAATTGTTCATGTCACAGATTACGTTTATTGCCACTTCATTATCTAATGCAGTTTATGCCAGCTCTTTCTGTACACTTAGACATTTACACAGATGAAAGCACCGGCTTATAAATGCTGGATGGAAAGTAAAGTGGAAGCATATAACTAATGGGTAAACTTCTTACCTGTCCTATGAAAATAACAGCTGAAATCTGATCAGTGTGTGAATAAAAATTTGTTGACTCAGTATTTGCGGAACATTGTAATCTGAGAGCATTTACAGTATCAAAAAAAAAAAAGGGATAATCTCTAGATTTAATTTTCCATCTATAAATTCAAATACAACCCCAATTCCAAAAAAAGTAGGGATGCTGTGTAAAATCTACATAAAAACAATGCAATTGACAATATTTTATTCACAACAGAAAATAGAAAACATCCAATGTTTAAACTGAGAAAATGTACGGTTTTAAGAAAGAATAAGGTAACTTTGTAATTGATGGCAACAACACGGCTCAAAAAATTTGGTACACGGTGTAGCGTCCCCTTTTCTTTAACAACAATTTGTGAACATCTGGGAACTGAGGAGACCAGTTAATTGCTGACGATTTAGGAGAGAAATGCTGTCCAGTTCTTACCTGATATAGAATTAGAACTGCTCAACAGTCCTGAGTCGTCTTTGTCAGATTTTTCATTTCAAGATTCACCAAATATTTTTAATTGGTGAAAGGTCTGGACTGCAGGCAGGCCAGTTAAGCACTTGGACTTTTCTACTATGAAGCCATGCTGTTATCATACTGCAGTATGCGGTTTAGCATTGTCCTGCTGAAATATGCCAAATCTTCTCTGAAAAAGATGTCTGGATGGGAGCATATGCTGCTCTAAAATCTGGATATATCTTTCAGCCTTCCCAGATGTGCAAGCTGCCCATTCCATAAGTAGTAACGCACCTCTATAACATTAGAGATGCAGGCTTTTGAACTGAGCACTGATAACAACCCAGAGGGTACCTCTCATCTTCAGTCCAGAGGACACAGCGACCATGGTTGCCAAAAAGAATGTAATATTACGATTCGTCTGACTACAGAACAGTTTTCCACTTTGCAACAGTCCATTTTAAATGAGCTTTGGTCCAGAGAAGTTGGCAGCATTTCTGGATCATGTTCAGATATGGCTTCTTCTTTGCATGATAGAGTTTTAACTTGCATTTTTGGATGACAAGGTGAACTGTGTTTACAGACAGGGATTTTAAGTATTCATGAGCCCATGCATTAATGACCATCACAGAATCATGCCTGTTTTAATGCAGTGCCATCTGAAAGCCCGAAGATCACGGGCATCCAGTATTGCATATTGGCCTTGTCCTTTGTGCACAGAGATTTCTCCAGATGCTTAGATATTATATACTGTAGATGATGATATATTTAAGGTTTTTGCAATTTTACAGTGAGGAAAATTATTTTGAAATTGTTCAAAAATTTTTAGATGCAGCTTTTCAGAGATCTTCACTTCTGAGATACTCAAGATGCCTTTATACCCAGTCATGTTACTAACCTGTTGCCATATAACCTAATTAGTTGCAAAATGTTCTTCCAGCTCTTATTTGTAATACCACTTACTCAGCCAACTTTTTGTTGCCCTGTCCCAACATGTTTGAGACATATTGCTGTTGTCAATTTCAAAATGACCTTATTTTTTCATAAAAAGGTACATTTTCTCAGTTTAAACAATTTGATGTGTTTTCTATTTTGAAATAAAACATGGGTTTATGCAATTTTCAAATCATTGCATTCTGTTTTTATGTAGATTTTACACAGCATCCCAACTTTTTTGGAAATGGGGTTGTATGTCAAATATATAACTGTCTGCTAATGCAATGCCCCATACATACATTCTTATTATTCGTCACATATTGCAATTTCATTGGAATAATTTGCAATTATTGCATTTTCAAAGAGTTTCAGAAATCGGGTTGATCATGTTTTCCCCAAGATAAATACCACATTGTAGATTATCATCTTTAACAGCAGCCCATGACATTTGGTTAGAAGAGAATTTTGCTGTCCATTCACCAACACTGTTCACAACTATAACTCCACCAGTGTCATCTACCCGAGTTTTCATGTAATTCAGACCTGCATCTGAAGCTTCCTCTACAGACATACCTGTAGGAAAAAATATATTACAATAATTTTAAATGTTACCTTATACAGATATTTTTCATAATTTAAGTGTGCATGGCACCATTGTTAATTTTGTAGTCAACAAAATGTTTTTCTGTGTATGCAGCTGATCTCTGTACATACATCAGAACTTTATCTGAAGTCATGTGTGCACCATGCATGCACCCTAGCAGACCTTTGAAGTGCACCTGTGAATTGCCCATGCAGAGCAAAGCTGTATGTTTGTTTTTATGCCAGGCTCCTGCAGCTGCATATACTTACGAAGGCTTTGCTGCCACATCTCTTCATCCATGTAACATGCCAGTACTTCTGGGTATGGAGAAGCATGCAACTCTCTACTTGCTTCAACATGAAGAAACAAAATATAGGTGACGTGACAGCTTCAGCGACTGACTGCTCAGGTGCCCACAAGTGTCAAATGGGGGCAGGAAAAAGATTTTCCCATCCTGTGGAAGCTCAAGTTTCACCCTGGACTTGATATAGGGAATTATTCACTCCCAAAGCCTAAATGGAACAGTAAGGATGAAAAGCAGGAAAGTATGCTGGCGCTGGGGGTGCAGTTAAATGAACTTACTGCTTTGACAAATTGGCCAAATTACTCCCCTTCTCCTGCACACCCAAACACTTATTTAGGGAAGCTTAAAATTTATTTTTTTCAGTTTTAGGTAGAGAGGGGAAGCATTAAACCTTTTACCCTGGTTCTATTGCTGTCCCATTAGGTGCAGTAGACTCACCACTCTATTTGTACTGATGAGCAGTGTCGCCAAAACAAGAATTACCAGGTAATGTAACTATTCAGCATCTACCAAAAACTGATTAATTTCTGACTGGACTGACACTTTAATAAACATTCACTTTGGACCAAATACAGTATACATAACACATATATATATATATATATATATATATATATACACACACACACACACACACACATATACATATATATATATATACACACATATACACACACACACACACACACACACACACATATATATATATATATTATATAGGTAAAAAAGGCTTAGGCTTTAGAACATTTCAAGGCAATGACTTGCAGTCCTCTACTATTCAAAACCATAGTGCCCTCAAACCCTACATTACTGTGCTCAAGGTCTGATACCAATGGGGATTCCCTTTCAAGCTACTCCTTACACCTAAAAGGCACACTGCACTCTTTTTCTGATCCAGAGGAAGCGAATATTTTTGTGTCCCTGGGCCTCATGGAAGCTGACCAGACCCAGGCTTCTTAAAGTAGTCACGGCTCTCTGAGGGGGTCTCCAGGGGGTAACAGAACATCCACCAAGAGAACACTGGCTGGTCACAAGGGCCTCACCCGAAGAGCACCATTAACCAAGGATTAGGCTCATAGCCCAACATAAGAGTGCTGACACAGCAAACTTTTTTTACTTTTGATTTCCTTGCAGGTTGTCCTAAGTTCTTGAGCTGTTCTTGAGCCCTCTATTGGATTACATTGGTTTGGGGACAAGTTGGCAATGTTCATTACATTGCAATAAACTTTAAGATCACCAAGGCTGTGGTAGGATTTGAGTACACTTTTGTACTGTGGGTATGGCTAATTTTTAGCTGGCACACATTCATTCAAGGATGTTCAGCACCATGAGGGGATCCTGCCATCCCTCAACACACCGCTGAATATCTATGACCTCACGCTGTTCCTGGGAATTTTTCCTACCCTGATTAATGAACACTATTATGAGGGAAGAGGTTACATTTCTGCTTCCAGAGTTGGTTTCCTTTTCGACCAAGCCAAGGTATTGTCCACCACTGTAAAGCCTTATTTTACGGTTAGCCTCTTGACTTTACACTATACATCAGCTGTTATGCTGGAAAGAAAAAGCACCAGCTTAAGTGGTACAACTACACTTTTGTGGCCCATGGGTGGGGCAAAATTGTCTCTTCCTACCCATTTATAGTCATACTGCAAAATTGTTTTCACTATGATTTATTGTGTTAAGTTTTACAGCCTTGTGCAACCTCAGTGTTTGTGACAATTTCCTGATATTTCAGGGTGATCTCGAGCTCCTTTGATCGCCAATGGACATGCTGTCCATTGAACACTGACATACAACAAAGGTGCTGTGTAAGGGACTGGATGGTCAGGAGCTTTATCCTTCCCAAGTCTCTTGGTGTTGGGCCCACTTTGGTGAATTGTCTGAGCTTTTACTATGTTCAAGTCTACACCACATAATATGTCGATTGCTATGATTAGTTGAATGTACAATGACTAGAGTCCCTAGATTGTTTCCTGGCAAATTAGAGGGTTTACAACAATGCGTCTCATGATCCCCATCTTTGTCCTGTACTGTTCCCTAACTCTGCTAGGACTATTTCCCTATACTATTTGAGGATGAATGTGGCATGGGCCTGGCCTGAACATTCCAAGCCTTGATTCACCCTTGAATGCAACTTCTAAAACCACTTTTTTTGTGCCGAAATTCCTGGACCCCTCCACCTATCACTCCCTATCACAGATAAGATGGACAGTCTCAAATAACGCAAGGGCTGGTGTCTTTATGATCACTCAGAAATTTTCAGCTGGCAAATAGACTCCTTTTCTGGTGGCTGTGTATCACTTCAACTTTGTTTCTTCACCTGGAGGTGTGGGAGAGCTCGGTATCTCTTGTATCTTAATTTACATTTGGTCACAGCTGTTGTTACGGTTACATTATGACTATTACTATTACCCTTATTGAAACACATTCATATTGATTCCTTTTAGCTATGTTCTAATACACTTTGGTTTATTCTTATTAAATGGATGGAAATTAACTGAATAGAGATGATTACAGAGGTTTTAGGTGAACTTTTACCGCCACCTACATACAGAGGACAAAACCTTTGTCCTGGTAGGCAAATACAACCAAGTGGTACAAATATATTTCCTAGCAAAAACTTCAATTGAATATGTTGCCATTTGGTCACATGACATCTCACAGAATATCTACCTCTGTCAGACTGTGTGATCACAAGTCTGAACAGGGTAGAAGATAGCTGTATACTGTCCAGTATGTATAAGTGGGTCCCACTGTGACCAATTACTAAATGCCGCCTCAAATACACATAAATGTGTGATATAGTTATCTGTGAACTCATAAGTTAGCAATTTATCAGTGGAACTGACTTTTATAGTTTGTGAAGAAAAAGGCAACCAAGGCAGAGGTAGACTGGGGATAGATCCAAGGTTACATATGATAATATAAATTGGCTACAGCTATACAATTCAACTAATTTCATGTTAGAGTTATGACCCTTCTGTACTGTTAAATAACAAGATTCTATAATACAGAATTCTCCTTCTAAGTACATCATGCCCAGGACTAAAGACATTATACATATATTTTCAAAATACGTTAGAGAGCTTTAAGAAACACCTCCACTGACCGCTGTACTCAGTTTTGTTCAAGACTTACAGACACCTGCTGTTTGTGTAGAAGGCTGGCAGACTGCAAGGCTTTATCCTCTTCAACGATGAGAGCTGTCCCTCGCTGATCTTCTGTGCTGTTCCAGATCCCCTCCTCTCCTATTGGCTGGTCACATTAATGCAACTCCACATGTATGCAGGAGCTCTATCGTCCTGGACACTTAGCTGGAATAAGCCAGGGGGTACACTGCACTAAACATGCACTGCACTGTAGTTTTCAAGAACTACTACGGCGCTGTGGAGCGCCATGGTAGTTAATTCAAGCTTCCTGTCAGAATATCTGATATTCAGACAGGTCTGCAGGAGACCTGCATGGCATCCGTGATCTATTGATTGCTGGTGGAATGCTTTTCAGGCTCCTTTGGACAAAAATAATAAATGCACATTTTTTTACCTACAAAAAAATGTGCATTTATTATTTTTGTCCAAAAGGTATCCTTTAGCTGAGGCAAAGGAGGCCTTTAGATGTTGTTCTGGATTCTTTTATGACCTTCTGGGTGAATCGTCGTTATGCTCTTGGAGTGATTTTGGTAGGCCAGCCACTCCTTAAAAGGTTCACCACTGTTCAAAGTTTCTCCATTTGTGGATAATGGCTCTCACTGTGGTTTGCTGGAGTCCCAAAGCCTTTCAATTTACCATGTAAACTTTTCCAGACTGATATATGTGAATTACTTAGTTTCTCATCTGATTTAGCAAGGGGGGTAATTACTTTTTCATATGGGACAGGCTTTTTGAGATTTTTTTTTTTGCTTCCACTTTAATCAAATTCTATTTGAGGGATTTCCACTTTAAGTCCGCCCTATAACAGATTTATACAGGGCTGGACTGTGTCAAGTGAAAATTTAACTCACATATCTTCAAAAAATATGGTTATACACAGTTCATATATATATTAGCATAGGGGGGTAATATATATTTTCATATATATAGGCAGGTTTGGACAACGTATTTGCCGGTGTAAATAAATAAATGGGCGTTTAAGTCCGCCCTATAACTTTTTCTGCTAAAATGTAGTTTCTGGGCTATCACTACACACATATATATACTATATCTTCCAATGCATACCATGTGGAGCATATAGTGCCCCATCATATATGTATAGTGGGAGGAATATATATATCATTGGTATTAGTGGCAGGTATAGTGCCCCATCATTAGATCGAGTGGGGGAATAGACGACCCCATATTGGTTCCTGCAAAATGTAGTGCCCCATCATTGGCTATCTCGCCGTATAAGACTACCCCTCTTCCAATGCACACCAGTGGGAGGAATAGTGCCCCATCATTGGTATCAGTGGGAGGAATAGTGCCCCATCATTAGTATCACTGGGGGAATAGTGCCCCATCATTGGTATCAGTGGGAGGAATAGTGCCCCATCATTGGTATCAGTGGGAGGAATAGTGCCCCATCATTGGTATCAGTGGGAGGAGGAATAATGCCCCATCATTAGTATCAGTGGGAGGAATAGTGCCCCATCATTGGTATCAGTGGGGGGAATAGTGCCCCATCATTAGTGTCTGTGGGAGGAATAGT